GCGCCCCGCGGAGCAGCGCGGAGGGGCCGCCCCGCCGCGCCCGTCCATGGGGCGGCGCTGAGCGGAGGCGCGGCGGGAGGGCGGCGGGGGCAGCATGAAGTCCCTGCTATTCAGCCGCTTCCTCCTGCTGCTGCCCTGGGTGCTCATCGTCATCATCGTGCTGGACATCGATAGTAGCCGGGCGCCGCTGCCCGCGCTGTACCCCCGCGGCGGGGGTGAGGGCGGGAGCGGCGGGGAGCGGCCTCCCGCCCCGCGGCGGCGGCCCGAGGCGGTGCTGCCCACCATCTATGCCATCACGCCCACCTACAGCCGCCCGGTGCAGAAGGCCGAGCTCACCCGCCTGGCCAACACCTTCCGGCAGGTGTCGCGGCTCCACTGGATCCTGGTGGAGGACGCGGCGGCGCGCAGCGAGCTGGTGACCCGGTTCGTGGCGGGCGCGGGGCTGCCCTGCACGCACCTGCACGTCCCCACGCCGCGCCGCTACAAGCGCCCGGGGCTGCCCCGCGCCACCGAGCAGCGCAACGCCGGCCTGGCCTGGCTGCGGCAGCGGCACCAGCACCTGCCGCCCCCGCAGCCCGGGGTGCTCTTCTTCGCCGACGACGACAACACCTACAGCCTGGAGCTGTTCCAGGAGGTGCGTGCGGGATAAGGGAGGGGGGGGGCGCGCTCCACCGCCTCTCCGCGGGCTCCCACCGCTTCTAGCATCCCCACTTCCCGCCGGGCTCGCCCCTCTCCAGGCTCCCGCGCGGGGCTGTGCCACATCCCGCTTTGCGGCGGCTCGGTGCCCCTTACTCAGAAATTCTGGGCATGGAGAATTCAAGCCCGGTCCCCGGCGCGGACACCTCGCCGCACCCCGTCCCTCAGCCGGGCTCTCCGGCGCTGTCTTCGTGTGACACTCCTCTCTTGATTTTTAAGTTTCTTGTCCCTCTCCTCCACGCTCCCCCCAACTTTTTACTGTTGTTTTCTCGCTTTCCTGCCGAGCGAGGCAAGTTTAGGGTTTATATAAGGGATCTTGTGTTTTTGTTACAGCTGGGATGAAAAGCACTCTTTCATAGTTGGGATTTTTTTCGGGCTGCATCCCTCTCCTTGTAGGGCAAACTGGCATCAGGAGTCGCCATCCTTCACAGTTTTTTCTTGGCGCAAATGAATTTATCCAGAGCCGGCTCCTTCACGTGGACTCGCCTTTTTGAAGCCTTTTCGAAGCCTTTTCGCTCTTAAAAGCAGCAAATCGTTTGTGTAATGACTAAACACCCTTTCAGGAGTTTCTTTTCTGAAAGGACCTGGTTTTGTCTTTATTGCCTTCCCTTGGTGAAGGGCTTTGTTTCATTTTGGTGGGAATTGGCAAGCGCTTGGGGCAGAGGGTATCCAGCTTTCTTTCTGAGTTCTGCCTGGCAGGAAGGAGGGACTGCAATAAGTGAACATAAAACAGCAGAAGAAAGATCATGTACATCTTCTGTGACAGCTAGGAGAGTACCCTTGGCAGGGAAATAAGGGAGGGAAATGGAAAAGTAGGTTGGCAGCAGATAGGGAACACACAGGGCTTCAGACAGACTGTGGTCCGTATCTTCTTGCTGGTGGATAGAACTGTATTTAGAGGTGTACACCCATATTCTACAGCTTGCTTCCAAGCAATGTGCCTCCTCGTGTGCTTTACAGTCAGTAGGCTAAAATGAACACAACACACAGAAACGTGAAGCACGTGCAATTCCCTAGAGCAAGCTGGTTTAGAAATGTTTAGGTTTGTAATGCATCCCTTTTCATTTCCCGTGAGTGAGTGGGCAGGTGCAGGGTCCCCATTCAACAGAGATGTCCTACTTCTTTTGCCCATTTGGCATTCAGCATTAAAGCTGCTAATTTAAGGACCTTTGCCTGGAGGCTAAACCTTTGTTGTAATTGATTTTTTTAAAATTCTCACGGCTGTGCTTAGCACGTTAGAATGCAGAGTAATTCCACCGTACCCATCTTTGATGTGATGGGAGTGCCCACATATATGTTCACAGATATAAGGCTAATCTGATTGAATCTTAGGGAATTTGTTAATTGAAACAGAAAGTACACTTTGACACAATGACTAGTGTGGAACAAAAGATATTTGGAGACAAATATCTACTTTTTTTTTTTTTTAATAGTTTGTTGGTTTGGGCTTTTTTTTTTTTTTTTTGAGTACTGACATTACAGACAAACTAAAGAGAACAGTATTGACAGGCATTTCACTTCAGTGACCCGGAGCTACTGAAAAGGTGTTCAGTCACATTTATTCTTTTATAATTTCTATCATTATTCTTCTGATTGCTGTGAAGGATGCAACAGAAAGGTACAAATTACCTCTTTGATGAGGTGGGAAATGCAGGAAAGCAAGGGGATAACGCTGTCTGAAGGGTTAACCTTGAAAATTACAGACACAACAGGCAACGTGTGTTTCCTCTTGCTAGCAAGAATTGTAACCTCCACCATGAACCTCTGCAATCCTAAGACCTCCCTTTCACCAGGGTTCAGCTGCTAGGGAAGAGGTGTTTATTCTGAGCTGTGTGTTCACAGGCAGACACACATGAATGAGTTTTCCCTGTGAAATGTGGTGGTTGGAAAGCTCAGTTACAGAAGTGGAGAAGGAGCTTTTGCTTCAATTACCTCTGCAAGTTCCCATGACTGTTTTCTGGGGTCACTAACGAGCTGTATGCGAGGTCTCGGGGGACACCACTGGTAGTAACACAGGGAATGCCTTGTGGACCTGGCAAAGTTAATGGAAGTCCCTTGGCAAGCTTTACCAACAAGATGTGTCGGAGGTTACATTTGGAGAGAGCCAGGAGTCTGATTTTCAGTCGAGGCACTGCTTGAGGGCTGGTTGCCTTTTTTTTTTCTTGATATAAGAAATTCTGTGTCTCCATGGATTCTGGCTTGACAGCTCTGTAGTAAATCCTGATCTCTCTTTCCGGAATTGATAGATATATGAGTGTAAGCTATACTTGTCTTTTCCAAGCATGAAGAGAACAGCTTCAGAACATATTGTGTGTAGATGAAATCTGGTAGTAATTCCTCTCATGAAAGTGGTGGTAACTCTACCCGAGAGGGAGTTTTTTCACTTCGTTGCCCTGCCAGGAACAATTCTCCAGACCTGCAGTTGCTTAATCCTAAAAGAGGTCTGATAAACTGGAGTCTGCTCACTGGGAGGGGGCAGTTTAAATGTAGGAAGACAAGACAGGAGCTCTGAATTCTCATCCTACCACCCACCATCCTGTGCTGGCTGCGTGACTTCCAGCATGTCACTGACAGGGGCAGAGGGGTGTGTAGGTCCCAAACTGCCAGCGGCAATGTGAGGTACTGTCTGCCCGCAGGCACTTACATACATTTGCTGTCTTATGAAATAGTAGGTCTGTCTTCTTTGTAATGGCTTGTTTCTGAGTCAAAGCTGGTTTCAGTAACAGCGGTGAGGGATTGGGGAGGTGGGAACCAAGGCTAGTTAGGATTGTAAAGCCAGCATGAGAGAAACATTGGCATTAGGGATGCATTTTGCTCAGAGGTTAAAAAAGCAGGACTGTGGAGCAAAAGGTGAGCCACAGAACTGCACGTCAGTGAAGGATTATGTTTAAGGCAGCTCTTTTACTGTGGCTTTCCCTAGTGCCCTTACAGAAGACAGAGCCTTTTTAACAAAGCGAATTCGGCAAAAGCTTTACTGGGAGTTGTAGTGTAGTTGTGAGGGTCATGATCAGAAAGGAGCATGCTTTGACATGAAATGCCGTGGGATACTTCTGAGAGCTTTTGATGAGGAAATTCTAATCTCTGTCCAAAGTCCTTCTGCCTGGTATGTATAGGAATGAATACTTTATATTTGATATGGAGCGAGCTGGGCCCAGTAGAACTAGACCAAATGTGTTTCATGGAAATCAGAAAAAACCCCAAGAACCCAGTTTACAGTAGAGTTTTTCTGGAAAATGTCACTGTCTGTAGTAAATCTGGAACCCTCTAGTGCTGTTTATAATTATCTTTTTTCCTAAGACCTGTGATGAATGTGGATGTATAGGCTAGTTTTCTGACTGGCAAAACTATGTCCTCAAAGTTGCAGCATGGAGTTTAAAGTAAATCACAGCCCTAATTGTCATTTCTGAAGGGTAAAAAAAACCCCAAACTTTAGTAGCTTAGCAGTTAGCCCTGTTGCCCACTGAATTGTGGACCAGAATTCAATTTGCTGTAGCTGTTGCCTGCACAAGAATACCCTGAATGTGATGGTAGAGTTGAAGCTGGAAAGGAAGTAGAAGGAGAGAGAGCTCAGCCTGTTCTCGTGAAGTTGTGGTAGTCTTTACAGGTAGCTCTAGATTCAGATTGAAAGCACTTCCTTGCGTCCCTGCTCTTCCCTTTCCCAAAAGGTATGTATGAAGGTGGCAGATATTCTAATGGCTTTTAACAGCCATTTCAGTAGCCTAAAAAAAATAATTCCTTGTTATTAAAAATGGAACAGAAATACTTGCAGGCATTGCACGTCACACAGGCTTCAGTTTTCCTGTGATCATCTTCGTAAAATATTTTGAGCAACTCAAAAAATGCATCACAGAAGAGGTGAATATTTGCTATTTTTTCCAGCTTTGACAAGGGAAGGGTTAGTGTTCCTTCAATAACACTTACATAACTGTCATAATCTTTATACACTGTATATGTGTATTTTTGAATGGATACATTTATGCAAAAAGATTTAAAACTAGTATAAGTGAATCTTTTTATCTTTAAAAACATGAAAATCTTTTGTTGTATGTCTTGGAGCTGGTTGGAAAAATCAAATTTTTTGATATAGTCTTAAAAATAACATTCAGTAGTCTAGATAGAATTAAATATTAGCTGGCAGTCATTAGTTATATTCTTCAGAATAAAAAAAATGATCCAAATATGTGTTAGCAGTGCATTAAATACCTTTCTAGGGTATAAATGATTTAGGAGTACATGACAGATTTTAAATGCACACTGACATTCTTCTTCCACATACACGTGTAGTACCTGTGCTAAAGAGACTGGATTAGAAAAGACTGGCAGAGAATGAAATAGCTTAAAAATGAGAGGAAACAGTGACCAAAAAAAAAAAAAAAAAAAGAGCTATTTGAAACATTATCCAAGTGAAGGACTCTGGGTTGTGAAGTACTGTCTATTTCTGCACTGAGAGCAGTGGTCTCATATGTGAAACTGATACTGTTACTCTGAATTTAATTAGAGAGGGTCAGCAGCTCTTCCGAGGTGCAGTGAACGCAACCTTGTAGGACGACAGAGAGTAGGATGAGAAAAAGAACCAGTCAGTAGAAGGGCCCAGAAGTAACATGAGTAGCAAATGTTTTGGAAGTCATCCCAGTCCAGCGAAATTGGCTCCTAACTGCTTTAGTTAAATTTGGTACAGTTTTCTTCTGTAGGGAAGCAATATTGACATTTGTGCCCAAGGATGCTGGTATAATTTAAAAGCATTAATCATTGTATCCTATATATAAAATGTTGCTGGAAAGAAGGGGGGAATTAATGTATCCTCCCTTTGCAGTGTAGATTGTGTACAAATCAGCAGAGAAGGTTTAAAACAGATGCTTGGAGAGAAAACTTTCTAATAGTGAGGATGGCGAAGAACTAAATCAGATCACCTGTGAGGGTTGTGGAGCAGGCTAGTTCAATGACTGAAAATTTTTTTGGCTTGTAGACCCTTTCTACAAGTTTTCCCACAGAGAATACCTTTTACAGTCAAGTTTACCAACAACAACCTTGCTTTTTGAAGTTCCTATCCCTTAAGTGTCACACTCCCTGAACCACAAAAATCACTGGCAGAGGTTTTCTATGCCTCAGTACCTCCTTTGAAGTGATGGTAAGTAGGGGCAGAAGCTCCATCCAGTGCCTCAGTAAACGGGCACAGCATCACTGCTGCTGAGCTGTCTGTCTGACTCGTAGTACTCTCCCATGAGTTTCATTGAAGCAGAATCTGGCTTTAGATGTCCTGTGAGCAATGCGGAGAACTGTGTGAGAACTGACAGGGAACCTGGCTGTGCTTATGTTTTTTTAACCCATAAAATTTTCTGCTGTGGAAGAGTTGTAGTGAAGGAGCTCTATGTCCTGTCTTTGGTAATAATAAATAGGAATTTTTTTGTAGAAATCTGCCCAAGTGTCACTGGGATGGCCAGGGGGGTGGAGTGGGATGGGATGGTGAGCTTAGGTGCTAACCTGTAGCCTGACCAGTATAGATCACAAATCAGAGAGAGGCTGAAATGACAGGGGGAGAAAAAAGCGTACTACGTGTAGCAGCAGGTTTGCATTTACAAAGAGCTTTAAATCTCAAGTAAAAACACATCAACATTATGCTGCAAAAACACTAGGATGGTTGTACCAGTCTGGAAGCCTTTTCACTATAGGAATTACCTCCATGTTTCTTCTCCCTGTCTGTCATTTGCCTTCATTCCCCCTGGGCTTTTATATTTTGTTACTGGCTTCGTATCTTCCCTATTCATCAGTCCGGCACATCCCATTAAGCAGCTTTTCTTGATTGACTAATGAGATGCTGTATTTGGCAATGCTTTTATCACTGCCTTTTATTACTCAGATACATTTTCTGCATTTTCACTTGCTATTCTTTAGTGGTTACTCTGTTGTAACTATTTACTGTTATATGCCCATCACCTCACTGAGATTTCTTAGGTCAGTTGTTACCAATCTCTCCTGTCATTTCCTTGCCCAATCCTTCCCAATTGTTGTCCCTTCTACTACTTAATTCAGATTTTTTCTACCATCTTCCCCATCCAGTACATAACTCTCCTCCTACGCGTAAGACCCCCTTTCAAATAATCAAAAAGTAAATAGAGGATAAAAGCATTTCCAGAGGGAGATTCATCCCACCTTAAGATAGCTGTCTAAGCCAAGCAGGATGAATCATGTCAGTGGGTTCCTACCTCTTTCATTAACTACAGAAGTCTAACCAGGACAGACCAGATACTTACAGAGAATAAGATGTAAGATGAATACCATTCATGTAAGTCGCTAGGACTTAAAATACTGAGTTTTAAGACAGGGTGTGCTACTGCTGTCATTACAATGACAGAAGGGCAATTTAGGAAGCTATTTGTAAGTCATAGGATTTTGGCAGTTGCTTAGCCCACAGCACTAAGACTATTTAGAATTAACACATTTTTGAATCACCTTTTTGTGTCCCAATGATTAGCAACATAAAATTCCAGGTGCAAGCTGGCCTTTTAATCCAAATAATAGCTTTTCCCCCATCATACATAAATACAGCCTTCACATAGCAGTATGTTAACTGCAGTAATGCTACTCTCAGAAGATTAAAAGAAATATTCCTACTTTCATCTGCCTAGCATATTCTGAGGCTGTGAGGTATTTCAGAATTAGCATAAATACTGGTCTAGATGTGCTCTTTCAGCTTTTACTTAAAGGGATTGCTGTATTCTTGACACCTGCTTATTTCATTCTCCAAAAATGTAACCTGTGAGAATAAAGAAAGTAACCCAAGGACAAAATGTAGAGCTCCTTCCTTCTGTTGTGTGGTGGCTTTACTGACATAACTCTTAGACACCAAGATAGAACCAAGACTGTATGAATTCAAAACTTCTTGGGTTTTGCGAGGTCAGTGATATACTTGACAAGATTTTCGTAGACGCGGTGTATGGTAGAGTATTAATGTAAATCCGTCTGGTTCTGCCAGCATAGATGCTGAGGCTGCTGTTTACCCAGTTCAGAAGTCCTGTGTAACCTGGCCCATTGTACAGTACAGCTGCCCAAACTTCTATTGCGTGCTCAGGCAGGGCATGGGTGCACCATGCATCAGCCACTCTCGTAGTTAAGAGTGTGTCTGCCCTTATCTTGTGGCATTTTGTGTTTACTGTGGGTGTGATTGGCATAGGGTGGTTAAAGTGCTGCAATTCTGTACATTAATAATTTGTAAAGGTATCTATACCCTCCAGGAGGTATTAATGGCAACATGTGTGTTCATCCTGTGGTTATTGCTGTTGTAGCACAGTTGCGTGTATGTGGCTTGTTGGTGCCCTTGGAAACCTACTGGAACTTACCTGTGTAGACATGCCCAACAGAATGACGCCCTGTGTCCACGTCTGATGTGTTTGGATGTTAATAGAAATATGCTGTTAGCAAAATATGCAAAAGGGATGTATCATTAAAACCAGAGTTAAAAGATCTTCATGAGAAGGTTTGGCTAATGTCCATACCCAAACAGTTAACTGCTAACTCTGCTTTTCCTGCATGGAGGACTGCGACAGATTGGAAAATTAAACGTAAGCAGGGAGAAGAGTTACAGATAAACATGATTAGCAATAACCTGTAGAGAGATTCATGGTAGTGTCTCAATGGCAATTAAATAGTCAATGGCTTGGACAGAATCCTTATCACAAGAAATCCCTGTATTGCCAACTGTACACATACTGTGCTCTTACACACTATGGGCTGCTGCTACTGAGAGATGGTGTGATTCTCAGCTGACTGCAACAGCTATTAGGGTGGAGGTGAGGAAATTCTGCTAAACAAATTTGAAGATACACAAGTAATTGGAGGGAGAGAAGGTACATATCTCTCTTCTGTGTGTCCATACATATTTGTGGATTTTCAAATATATATTTTATGCTTTCCCTCTGTGAAAGTTCTAAGAATCTGCTAATGTATTGGAAATGTGAACCACACTGACATGATGTCTTTGTTTTTTTCTAGTGCAACTCCTATGAGTCTAGATGATATGCATGATAAATTTTTCACCTTGGCAGAGAGAGAGAGAATTGCTTAATATTTAACCAAGGTTGTCTTTTACTTCAACATCCATTGATAGGGGACTGCAGTAACAAATATGTAAAACTGTATTTGTTTTTGCTAAGAGGAGTGCTTGGAAGGAGAAAGGGATAACCTTTCCCTAAGGAATAAGCTTCAATTACAACAAAAGATGAGACTGTTTTTAGAATAGATCAAATAAAGCCCACATTACACTGAAATAGTTTAATACTTGTTTAAATAGCACCACATTTAAAACACAGTAGTTGAAACAGTGGCTTTTGAATCAATGTGGTTAAATTGTGCAAGTTGCCCTGTCTGTTGCACTCGTCTGCTCAAGTTCTCACACCAGACTATCTGATTTTCCCATGGGGAGCAGTGCGTCAAAGTTCATGTCATATTATCTCCTGTTTACTGAAGAAAATGGTCCAGTGAACCAGTTATCTGAACTCACTGAATCACAGGTTCTTTAAAGTTGGAAAAGACCTCCAAGATTGAGTCCAACCTTTGACCGAACAGCACTGTATCAATTAAATCATAGCACTAAGTGGCATATCCAGTTGTTTCTTGAGCACCTCTGGGGATGATGACTCCACCACTTCCCTGGGCAGCCTGTTCCAATGTCTGACAACCTTTTCAGTGAAGAAATTCTTCCTGATGTCCAAACTGAACCTCCTCTGGTACAGCTTGAGGCCATTTCCTCTTGTCTTGTCACTAGCTGCATGGGAGAAGAGGCCAAGCCCCACCCGGCTACAACCTCCTTTCAGGTAGTTGTAGAGAGAAATAAGGTGTCTCCTGAGCCTCCTTTTTTAACAGGCTAAACACTCCCAGCTCCCTCAGCTGCCCCTCCTATGACTTACTCTCCAGATCCTTCCCCAGCTTCATTGCCCTTCTCTGCACATGCTCCAGCACCTCAATGTCTTTCTTGAAGCGACTCCCAGTCATGCAACCTTCTTGCTAAAGAATTATTTTTTAGTATCTGTAGATTCCTCAAGGCTAGATAAGGACCATTTTTCTAGAACTGCATTTATTTACATTTACACCACTGGGAAAAATTCCTGTTATTGATAGTAAGCATCCTGCCTGGCCTGTTTTTTCATCCTTCTTGGAAATTTAGCAGAGCTTTTAAAGGGAAAATGTAAAATTAAAAAAGGTTTAACCCAAATAATCTTCTTTTTTTTTTTTTTTTTTTTTTTTTTGTGACCGTTTAATAGATCTGAGCTGCATCTCAGCTCTGGACAAATCTGGTATGTTGCACATAGGAAAGAGCCCTGTCATAATTTCCTGTACTCAATGCATTTTTTACCAGTCTCAAACTAATTGTACTTGTTTTAGTGACACGCGTGTTTGTTAATCATTATTACATTTTCTCTCATCAGGTTTGTAAAATATCTCAGCAATCTATAGAAATAAGCCTACTGAGAGAATGCTGTAGTCTTGCAGATAAAAAAGATCTACTACACCTGTGGAAACCCAAACAAGAAAAAAAAACCCAAACCTGTTTTTTCACAGCTTTTAAAAATTTTGCTATAAAAGATATGAATAGGGTGTTAAAGTAGAATTGAAGTGCCTATGGGCTAAAGAGCTGGAGATTTCACAGAAAATGAGTGGGCACACGTAGCTTTCCAATACTTACTCTGTTGGGCTGAAATCTGTAAGCTAGAATTGCCTTTGAATACCTAGTCTTGCTGATTAGTGTGTAGGCTTTCTACCAACACTTACAAAAGAAGCCTGCCAGGAGCAGGGGCAGGCAGTGAGTGATGCTGTGCTGCCTCTTGCAGATGCGCACAACACGCAAGGTGTCCGTGTGGCCCGTGGGACTGGTCGGGGGACGGCGGTACGAGCGCCCAGTCGTGGAGAACGGCAAAGTTGTTGGCTGGTACACGGGCTGGAGAGCGGACAGGCCCTTTGCTATTGACATGGCAGGTAAGGATCAATTCCCATGATACATGAATGTTTCTGATAATAACTGATTTTCTCAACGTAAGCAGCTTTTAAAACTTCCCAAGTGTCAGCACTGTATGCAGCCTTTTGGCACTAAATATCCTGGAAGTCTTAGCTTGCACATCTTGTCTAATTAAGTTGCTGCTTGGTGATACCTGAACTTACTTTCATTTGTTTCTAATTTAATGTGGCAACTTGGCTTTTATGTTGTATAAATTGTTTGTCTGAAACAAGTTAATTGCAAGTTAACTCATTGAAGTAATTTTTGCAAGGAGCACCTGCCCGTCATTGTGTCATCAATCTAAACCAGGTAGTATAAATACAGACCTTTTGTAGACCTCATGTTGTAAAATGCTACTGTATCATGAAATGATTCATTTTGTATTGGTTATTTGGAATGACAGTGATAACTGTAGATGGATATAGTTTGAAACACTGGGCTTAGGTGAAAAATCACTGACAGCTATTGCCTAGTAGATGAAGGCAGAAAAGCTTCAAAATGGATGTAATCAATCTTCTGCAGTGAAGTTTGCACACCACACAGCTCTGTTTTGCTGTCAGTCCGTGCTTAGACAATCTTTTGAATATATTCACAACTGCCACATGAATCACCACTGTGCAGAAGTCCAATTTCTGATGTAGCAGCAGCTGATTTCCTAGCAAGCGATATGATATTTGCACTTAGGCATCTTCTGTATCAAGGAGGGAAGGGGAAAAGTAGGAATACAAGGGCAAGAACAGGAGAGAAACAGCCACTTTTTTTTTCCTCTGGTACACTTATATTTTGGGAGAGGGAAAAGAACAGTGCTCTCACTTGGGCAGAATATATTAATTGAAATGTCTGATGATAAATATGTACAGTATATACAGTTGTATTGGTTAAAAAGAATAAAATACTAATTGTTTTTAACACCTCAAAGATACAAACATCAGCAGGTGAATTTTTCTGTACTGTACGGGCATTTCAAGACCATAATACCACCTGGCATAAAAATTAATATTTAAGTGTTTAGGTAGAGGCATTCCACAGGGGAGATGTATGTCAATGCCCAAACCCATGCAGCGTATCGAGGACTGCAGCTGTGCATTTTATCAGTCTTTGCCTGCTCTGCCTGTGGACTCACAGATACCTATTGATACAGTGTTGTAGAAGGGATTACTGATGGGCATTATTTAGGTGAGAGCATGGTTCATAATTCATTAGCAGCAGGCAAAAAGCCATTACACAACAATGGCCAAGGGACTCTAACCCAGACATGAAGAGATACTTGGAAAGTTCTTAAGTTGTAGTTTACTTTGCAGTTGCTGGCTGAATCAGTGGCATGAGGGAAAAGCAGCTCCATTAGGAGCATTACCTGCTTGCACTTTTATGAAAGTCACAAAAGGGAGGGTTATAGAGACAAAGAAACATTGATAGTACAGGAAGTTACTGCAGATCCACAAACAAGGAGTTACTATTTTGTAAGACAACTTTTATTAGTCTTCAAAAATACTGAAGAAATTAAATTACATTTTTAATTTCAGCAAGGAGAGAAATGGATGCTGTGTAGCGTGCTAAAAAAATTATGTGAAAGTTGCATCTTCAGTCCCCTCAGGAATACAGTGGAAGGGCACTAACAGAACAGAACTGCAAATCCAGAACTTCATAGGTGTCTGAGCAGGTACAGTCTACAGGACACAGGTCAACACTCAGTTTCCTACCCATGCCCTTTGCTCCCGACTTCCCAACACACCCCTGCAGACTTGGGAGGCTTGCTAAAAAAACCTAAGTCCATGCTGTGGTCCATCACTAGCATTTCTCCATCTCCTCACCAAACACACAAGCAATTTAGGTTATACCGCACATAAGGAAGTTCAAGGACCTCTTCTGAAAATATTACCATGAAAAAAGTATAGGTGCATATATTAAACTGCTCAGCTGTCTACAGTTAATGTTCTGACACCCAATGCACTGGTACGGAAGGTCCCTTTGGTTTACTGAACTATCTTTTCACAGTGATTTTCACAAGAGTTTGATCATGAGTCTGGGTGTGAACACAAGACCGCTTAAAAGGTTTGGAATCACTGATATATCTTGTGGCTGTTCAGATGAAGCTTTTAAGCACATAAAACTTCTTATTCTAGGCTTCAAAATACAGGGTCAAATTCAAATTACTGGAAGTGGAGACAGATCCTGCTGATTTCACTGGGCTCAGCTCAAAGAGCCTAGCTGGCCAACCTCCCCAGAGTCCATGAAACACACACATCGCAGTCACATTAGATCAGTTCATTAAGCACTGGTTATTTATTTTGAGAAATTTGTGGCTGACACTGCTATTCTCCAATGCTAAATTGCATTCAGAAAGCAGAGTAGCTGTTTCCTGTGCTGCTTCTTGACTGGCAACCAACTCACCATATGAATTAGTTCAGGTGTTTTCTAAGTTCTGCTTCAGTTTTAACTGTAGGTGAGTTCTAGAGTTTGACACAAACTTCCTTACCCTCAGGGAAGAAAAGTGAGAAAGAATCTTGAAAGCAAAAAGGTGACACTGATTCTGAATTAGGTAGTGTTATTTAGTATGGACATGATTTAAAGTCTTCTGTATTAAATACTGCTGTTTTAAATTTGGCTTGTTCCCAGTGCCACAATTTTGGACCACCCATGAAAACATGTTACATCATGATTCTCCTAGTGTCAGGATTGTTCAAGAAGGCAGGCACATGCTTTACATTAGCATTCCAAGAGTTACTTCAGTCACAGGGATTAGTACATGCCTGTAAATGACTAGGCAAGCAGATTTTGGATGTGTGGTGCAGAGCTCATCCACTGTGCCCGAAGTGCCTCTGCTACAGCCTGAGCAAACACCTTTTTTTTCTTTAATTTTCATTTTGCTATAGTTATGAGTTCTTCAGTACATCTCATCTTTCTGATGAGCAAAAAGCTAGTCTATTCATGACACCACAAAACATGGCATATTTTGACTGACTCTGAAAGAGCCACTGCTGGAAGACACAAGCGCAAACAAAAAAATTTTGAGTGGCTATGGCAGACAGCATGCTCAAAAAAACCAAACCCCAACTTCTCCTCCGTGAAAGGGTTAATACTATTTTAAACATTGAGTTTACAATCAAGAGCCTTTCATGGTGAATTAATTGTGAGCAGTTGCCTTTGTTCTGAACTATAGAAACCCCTGGTTAGCCATCTCTGCCTTACTGCAACCCAAACTGTGTGTCACAGGGAGAACAGTGAGAGCAGCAGAGCCCAAGCCATGGCACATCCAACAAGCCAAAGGTGGTACCATAAACCATGTGGACACAGTAGGTCTGTTTCTACATTAGCACTGAGCATTAGCATTTATACACTCCAGAAATTATAAACACTCAGTTTCCAGCTTGCCCTCAGCCACTATCCTATCTAGAACATCTAGGAAGCAATGGCATTAATCATGGCAACAAAATCTTTAAACACTGGCTCAAGTTTAACTGGATGAAAAAAAAATAGTTCTGCCTTTTAACAGAAGCCACTGATCTAACACAAGTCAAGGTGTGAATTAACAGGAACAGCTTACGTTGAAAGAAGCACAGATATAATCTTTGCCGCATCTCCTAGGTATCTTGTCCTCCAGCAAAGTAATTCCTGTCTAGGTGGTTCTTCAGCCAATTAGATTTAATTTACAACCTTGCATTAAACACCATAAAACCCCAAGAACACCTCTTCACACTCCAGCTATGAAATTGTCTTGTGGCACTTCATATGAGCTTAAGCCCAATATGACCTTGTAGGAATAATGATTAAGTAAAATAACTGTATGCATGTAAGCACTGTTCAGTTATGCTACACTGGAGACAGTAATCCCAAATTAATCCCTGTTTGGTGATAGAATTCAAAATAACAGCATATTTTCATCTATTAGCACAGGCTCATTATCTACTGAGAGAAATTAGTAGAGAAATTAGTGCCAGTCTGGTCAAAACCTGAGCCATCTCCTCTCTTTCCGACACCAAAATGATACATCTATGATAAAGTCAGTGGAAAGGTGTCACTAGAAAGTGGCTTTCTCCCAAGTCCATCTTACAAAATGTCATACATGTGAAATAAAGCAATTATAAAGCAAAGCTGAAGAACTAAAATAGGCAGGACATAAATCTCCTTGCATTATTTTATCTCTTCAAGTTGTTGCTTTATTGGATTTTTTAAGAAACAAAGACTGCATGACCACTGACCAAGGAAACAAACCTCAGGCCAGTCTGTGCACAGTAGTCTGTGTCCTTGCCACCTACAACACTCAGTTTATAATTTAAGTTTTATTTGATGCCTGATTTTTGATAGCACCCTATAATGGCAATTTGCAATAGCATGGTAGCAAGGGCATGTGTTACATGCAGGGGGCACGGCCCATCTGAAGATCTGTGCATAGGAGAAATCCACCCTCAGAACTCCATGCAATTTTCTCAAGAGGAGCAAGCATAAGAAATTAATCAGTGTATGGATAAGTAGGGGCTGTGGGAGCCAGGGAGCCACAATGACACATACTGAGGTAAGCAGTGGAAAAACCGTGCCTTCTGCTTAGAATGGGATTCCTTCCTCACTCTAAAAACTAGGCCACTACCTTAATTATTTTGGTGTTTACTTCATTTTTGCATGGCCAGCTTGAATCCTAAATCTTTTTGAAAAGAAACAGCAGCTCACACAGCTGATCAGGATTCCAACAATGCCTTCCCATGCAAAGCAACTTTTTTTTTTTTTTTTTGCGCCCAAAATTATCAAAGCCCAGTTGCATCCAAAATTTATTGCTTGTTCTAACTGAGGAAAAAACCCCAACAAAACCTAACCAAAACCACTGAACTGAAGCAGGTAAATTTGTTCATCAGTTTTAAGTCCAAGGTCCCTTTCAAGGTGGTGCAAGGTGGCTGTACACACTGCTGCTGTCTCTTGCTGAGGGAGTTTAAACACTCGACCTCAGCTCTTTCCAAATGATTACACTTGCCTACCAACAACACTGGGATGGAGCCCATCTTGTGCTCTCTCATGACCAGTCTACAAGTTGTAGGAAGTAGGAAAGGACTGCAGCCTGCTGCAGACAAACCCCTGGTGGGGAAGAGGAGTCCAGAGCATTATTCTGCCTGGGAGCACTGAGCTAAGCCCAGCAGCTGCAGCAGAGAACAGCTGGATCCCAGCAGTGATGCTGCAGAGGTTAACTGAGTGAGGACAGGCTACAGCCAAGGTCTCACACCTCCTGGAAGTCTTTTATTCACTGGACTGCTCTGCAAGGTGTGGGCAATATGCTCTCTCCATCTAGACACCTCCTCTTCTTTATCTCAGACAAGATATAATGTATTAAGTTACAAAAAAGATATAACATATACACATGTCTTCTGCAACTGTGTCCATCGGTGAATTGGAACCTCAGTTTATGTCCAACCCATAGTTTTTATCAGGGTCCAAATCTTTATTTAAAACAAAACAAATTTTCTGGTGTCTTCCTGTGCTTTCCTGCAAGCAAGAGCAGGAACCACTGAAAGTGGTTTCAGTACGCCTTCCTTTAATACGTGATGTAATAATTACTTCCTTATATTTTCCTCTTCAAAAGGCCCCCACAAAAGTCATAGATATTTTCAAGGAAAATACAGTAGCAAGACAACTGTAGTAAAAATGGGTTAGAATTATATTAAGTAAGAGAAAGCTATTCTCAATTTTAAATCAATAACATTTTAATACTGGCTTTAGAATTAAATGTTCTTGCCATTTTCCAGAACTGATGTGAAAACTGTTACTACTTGTGTCATAAAGGGACAGCTGGAACCACTCTGAACTGACGAAGAAAGGATTTCTTTGGTAGGCTTGGCAATCAGACATAACGAGTTAGTTACAAATGTAGTTTTTCTTTACAAGTCTTATCGGTCGAGTTTTGAGTCCTGCTGAAAGAACCATACATGTGACTGAGCATAGCTGAAGGAAAACTGGAGAGTTCTATAAATAATGGCAAATTGGAGATTCATGGGAGCTTCTTCAGAGAGGGCGAGTTTGTTCAAACCAGTGATTTCTCAGTGTGCAATCTCCCTTCAAGGGACCTAATGCACGTTACTGCAGGAATGCATCGCAGAGAGGTGTGTGCATGAAGAAGTCCTTTCAGCCGTGCTGTGCCACGTACAGATCACCTGCAGACTGCCTTGCAGACCACCAGTGATGAAAGTCATTCACAAATCCACAATAACTACACAGTGTGCAAGGCAGAGCATTAATGCGGCTTGTCTTTCACCAACAATAATGTTAAAAACTCTCTACAGGCTGAAACTCTCCACAGATCACAGTTGTAATGTATTTTAACCTTTTTTCTGACTTTCACCTTTAAATGTAGAAGTGTTTGTACAGTATAAATTTTATACATTTTATTTTTCTTAAAATTGAGTTTTAGTTCTTAATTAGAAGTAGAAAGGATGAATAGTTCAGGATCTTAGCAATACCTGACTTTTCAGGGCAAAAAAATATATATTCCTTACATGACAGGAAATAGATTAAACATGTTGAAAATATGGTGCAAAAAACATCTGATTGCATCTTGAGGGCAAAACACAGAAATGTAGGACATACAAACCTACCAAATACCAAATATTCATATAATCAAATTTAGACAATTTTTAAAAGAGCACAGGAGATTTCTAGGCTTCAATGTAACTGCATAAAAATGTAAAGCCTAAAGGTTTTTCTTAACTTTTTCCCTGTCCCCCTCTATCCAAGGATTTGCTGTGAGTCTTCAAGTGATCCTGTCGCATCCCAAAGCCGTGTTCAAGCGTCGTGGTTCTCAACCAGGAATGCAAGAATCTGATTTTCTGAAACAGATAACAACAGTGGAGGAACTGGAGCCAAAAGCAAACAACTGCACAAAGGTACCAAGTTCCACACTTTCTAAAAAGCTTTTGTGTCATCTCTGTAGATGACTGTACTGACACAAATGTTATTTTATAGGTTCTGGTATGGCACACGAGAACAGAGAAGGTGAATCTAGCTAACGAGCCAAAGTACCACCTGGATACAGTCAATATTGAGGTATGATGTGGGGAGACAGTCACACAGCAAGTGCAGGACAATGGACGCGTCAGGACGTGTTTGAATTCAGCCAGTTAAAATCATCTGGTTCTGTGTGAGACCTGATGGACTTCTGTGGAAACAAAAGGAAGTTGTCAGAGACTCTAGTAGGCAAATCAAGTGGGTGTGCTTGTTCTAACTTGTCTGCATGCATTTCTGAACTCTCGGCTTAATAAACTGACACTTACCTTTGTTTTAACGCTGTTTCCACATAGAGAAATGTGGTGTAATGGTATTTTTTCAAAATCATTATTTATGTATATACTTTTTGTATTTATCCAGCTTAATGGTGTAATTATAAACTGATTTTAACTCACAAACTGTTGATCTAAATATCTGCATAAATGGATCCTCCAAACTGAACATGTTTTACTTCATTAGAAGTAGCGGCCAAATAGGTTGTACAATAACAAAATAAAAACCCAGAGTCACTTATGGATTTATCCTTTTAATATAGGGAAATAACATTTTATCATTACGAGGCACCATAAAATGTAAACACAATCACTGTCATAAACCTGGATCTCTGCAAGGAAAAATATATCCATTCATTTGGAGTTACCGTGTATGCATATTGTGCTGCCAGTTCTCAGCATTAATACTGTGCGTGTGCCTCATGAGCCAGATCAGAGACTTTATCACAGGAAACTCAAATGCATCCAATGCTCATTTTTAAAAGAATAAACTATTGATTTGTAGAACTACAGTAACATCCAGGTTTATCTTTCTTTCAATAACCACATTCCCTGTTATGCACACCATAATAACATCACAGTGAAATGTATGATGAAACAAAATTTGTTTGATACACTAGAAAACATTGCTCGGTGATACATTTACATTCTATTTATATATGATTAAACATTTGTTCATAGAGTACCTTCTACAGGATTACTGGGTAATTTGGGGGGATTGGGGTTCATATTTTTGGATATTACTAACATGATAGCTACGTCCCTTATATGCAAACATTTGATCTAGAATTTTGAGGGAAAAAAATCAGTATGTGGTTAAGCAGCTTCTTAATATGGTCTATGAAATCATATGCATTGTATGAAAATGCTTCCAATGATGTATAAATATATTCCTGATCTGCTTTTCACTACATCAAATTTAAATCAATATAGACCACAACACGGTCAGTCAGTTATATTCTTAATCTGAACAGCTGGGGAAAAAAAAAAAAGAATATATATGTACATGGAAGGAACAGCAAAAGTAAATGCATTTGAACAAGGAATGTTAGGTGGCTGTTCTGGGAGAGACTTCTATTGCAACGTTCATTTCCACAGTTGTGTGCTGAGAGTCTGGCCAGAGGAGCTTCCAGTCCATCCTGCCGCTGTGCTGGGGGGCTGGCCAAAGCCCATCACGTTGCTGGAACTGCTGAGGTTCATTCCAGCCATTTGCTGATTCATCTGCGAAGCACAAACACATGCATGAGGCTGGTTAGCACTGGCACTGAAACACAGCATGCTGCTGGCTAAAAGCAGTCCTGCCTCCAATCAGCCACTCAGTTAAGAGTACATTTCCCTAAAAATGTTTCTCATTAAATAAAAATACTGACTCAATCTAAGTTTCTAAGCATTTTTCCATGCTACCAGCTTTTCTGGAGCCCTTCAATCACCATCACACACCAGCTGACATGCTGCAGCACTTGGTGTATGTGTCACATCTGTATGAAAGTTCCACTAAGGAACTGACACAGCATGTGAAGGAGATGGTTGATGTGGTTAGTTGGTAAGAGTTTGCTTTCACAGTGTCAAAGCTAACCAACAAAATTATGGTTAGAGAGATAAAGAGACACCAAAGCCAGTAATATAGCCTTGTCTGCACTTGCAACTCCAGATTTTTTTTTTGTTCTTTGGAGACCTCAAAATCTTGAATACACAAGTTTTTATAGAAATTGTCTATTTAGGTGGCAATCAGCAAAGAATGAGGTGGGTTTATAAACATGAATATTATCTAAATCTAACCACTATTGCTTAAGAATCTACTCAAGATATTGTAATTCCTTAAATGAATTAAATAATTCACATGAAATTAAATTAATGTGAATTTAGCACCTGGTTAAAGGTGGGAAAGAGTTTGAAATTCAGCACATTCACTTCAAGTATGGTGCAAAACTATTCATACTCTCTACAAATATTATCTAATCACTGTAATTTTCAGTGCTCAGTGTAAAAACGAGTTTGAGAGCAAAAATTATTCTTTGCTTATGTTACCTTTAATTGAATTATTATTCAATTAAATAATGAATCATTATTCATTATTATGAATAATGAATCATTATTCATTATTATTGATTTGTTAACACATGCCTCTGAGCAGTTCATAGTCCAGCAGTCTGTAACACGGCTACACTGCACCTTCCTCCTACAGCCACACATTTTGGATCTGAAAAGCAGCATCTTTTCTAAAGCACTCTTGTCTAGGAAGCCAGTCTTTACCTGAGAGAGGTTCCATTGAGCTTGTTGGTTTTGTTGCAAGCCATACTTATTTTGTGGTGGTGTGACCATTTGTCCCACCATTCCACCTTGAGGTCCAACGACATTTTGAGGAAGTCCCATCACACCAGTTTGTGCAGTACCAGTAAATCCATTGGGCATTCCCATTCCTATCATCACGCCTGTGGTCTGTCCCATGACTGGCACCGATTGTCCCATCACGTTTCCCATCATCCCAGTTGCTGCTGGCACAGGAACTCCCATGGCTGGAAAGCCTTGAAAGTGAGTTGATGGTTGTGTGGTAAATGGCATAGAAGATGACCCCATGAACATACCTGTACCAGAAAAGGGAAGATTTCAGCAAAAGCGTTTTGTGATTTTCCTCCCCATCCCCATAGGTCAGAAGTGCACCAAAATAATTTCAAAGGATAACTGTACCCTATTGTATGTCAGAGCTGTCAATTTACCTTCTATTAAAACTGAAAATTTGCTTAAAACTTTGAAAGAAAAGGGACTCACCACAAGATTAACTGCCAAGAAGAGTTTGGCAAATCCCTGTGGCCAACCAGAATCTTTTAATTGCTGTATTGGAGGTCTTTGTTTTCGCACAAACATAGCTAAACCCAAGCTCTGACAGCTCCATACAGATCTTGGCAGCTGCTGGTTGCACAGTGAAGACTCAGATCTTCAGCAATGAATTAGATCGCAGAAGATGAGTTCACAAATCTTTCAGTAAACTGTACACTTGATAATTTGAACTGCTATAAATAAATTAAAACCACATACTGTATTTTTCTTTAGCTTCCATATTACATTTCAGTAATTTTTCTCAGTTTTATAAAAGGTAAAATTAAAAATCTTCATTTGACTATAGTTAGCAGGTAGCCAACCTTAGCTTTATATTTGTAGAAGATAACTGTTCTAGGTAAAGCTTAAACTAGTACTGCACAGAAACCTTCACAAAATTATTTACCTGGAGCATTTTGCTGCTGCATGGTTCCTGTGCCATACAGTGATAAAATGGAGTCTTTGGAGAGTTGTTTCTTTGCTGACTCTTCGGATTTTGTTGTTTGCTCAGTAAATAGATCAAGATCCCCAGATGCCGCAGACAAGGTAGCAGCTGCTGGTTTAGTGGAAGTGCTCTGGGAAATAAAAGTCAAGACAGACTACTGAATGAAACTGGAAAAAGACGTTATGTTAAATATTTACTGCACAGCCTTGCTCCTCAATCAAATAAAATCCTGCTCATTTACAGAAACTAGATTTTAAGTAAATGAGGATCTAAAAAGATGTGGTATGACTAAAGACAAAAAAGCAGTGCATATGATATGGAAACACCACCAGGCCAGATGGAGGTTACAAAACAAAGAAAACTAAATCCTCGACCAGCTTCAGGGTGTACACATACAGATTATTCATTCCTGTTGCTTCTACGTTTTTCATCAGTGAGAAGCATAAATCAAGAGCTGGAGTTAGATTATGAAAAATAATTAGGAAATCAATAAGGAGATTACAATTCACATCTCATTAATCCTCTCATAGGCAGAATAGATTAGAGAAGAGCTAAAACAAAAGATTAAGTGCTTTGAAATGTACCTTTGGAGAAAAGGCAGAAGTAAAATTTTGGTTATCTACTTAAAGTAATAAAATTTCTAAAATACAATGTGTATAATTGGCTTAGAGTTCTTGAAGCACGTTTCAGTTATCGAGAAAACATAATTATCTAAAACTTATTGTAGTATGACTGAAAAACTAAAATACAGGCAGGCTGGCAGGCTTTTTACTGCTCTTACACTAAAATATTTTGTAAACAAATTATATCCAGGTGTCTCTCGGTGCTGTTATTTTGTTGTTTGTACACTTAAGTTCCATATGGGGGCCTGCTTAGGGAACTAGGCAATACATGGGTTCTTGTTATATTCCTTAAAATACACAACTCATCCTGTTACCAGGACGAACTTTTAAAGCAAGTCAACTGTATGCACAGTGAAAAAGAGCCAGGACTGCAAAGCATACTTGCATTATGGCCTTATTTTAGTCCAGCTAAATGATCCCCAGCTGCTTAGCACACACCTGCCACATTCCCACAGCATGTGCGAGTTTCAACTCTTTCCCACACTAAAGGAAAATCTTCCTTGGACTACCACTGTGAATGAACTGGACACGTAACCAGGTCCAACTGTCTCCTGTCAACACATACCCAAGTTTATCAGAGAGACAAGAGGACATCACAAAATATTCAGATCTGGAACACACTTATAAATCTTCCTTAAAGCAACAACCTCCACCTTCTGGTTTTACTGACTATGCCCCAAAAAGTCCACTATGCTCACACAAACACCACAATACAAACATTCAATTTGCAGCTTCAGAAAACACATCTGACTCTACTACAACCTCTAGTTTAAGGCACTGCCACAGATCAGGGAAGAAATAACCACAGAACAATTCTGTTACTAATTAAATTTGTCAGACCAAGAGAAAGGAGCTTAGATTCATGTAGTTGATGGCGAAAAATCTCCAAAACCGCTGCAGAAAGGGAAGAGAAAAAATAAACGAGAAATGGGAACTTTCTGGCAACTGAAAATCTGCATTTATACTACAGTCAATTTGGGCCAAAGTCACTAGGACTTAGTGAGCAACAAAGAGTGGGCTGACAGCACTACAAAGGGAAAGCAGACAGAAAAAGATGCATGAAATCTTCTCTCTAGCCAACATACACTTAAACTACCAATTTCTTCCTACTAAAAAAAGCTGCTGCCTCTTACTTACTACTCACAAGAATTTCTGATTGCAAAGGAAAGTCAACATTTTTAAATGGGTAGTAGGAAGCCCCCTCTATTTGAGACAATTCTTTATCAGGGTGGCATACCCAGTCTTTAAAAATACCACAGTCAGATTTAACAATACATTCAGGTAAAAGCCCATCCTGAACAGCAGTATTTGTTTTACTGTGCATACAGCCAGGAAGTCCCAGTATTAAATTGTTCC